GCCCCCATCTCCTGATTAATGCATCTCTTTCGAAGATGTTACTCGAGCATCTCAGGTCCAGCCGGCAGGGAAGCGGCTCCGTGCGCAGAGGAGCGGCCAAGCTGCGGGAGCGGGGCGGCTCCGTGGGACAGAGGCTCCGTGGGGCAGAGTCCCCCCAGTGCCCAGCACCCCGCTCCGCGCCCCGCACCCACCAGCGCTCTCTTTCAAGCGGAGTTTGTTAGCATAATCGAGTTACCCGCTACATATCTGAAATCCTTGACCCGTCCCCTTGAGGAACGGCGCATTGCGCGCAGCAAAAGCTTTGAATTATTCTTTTCTCCCCAAATCAGGGAACAACAAGCAATTGTTGTTTGTCTTAATTTGGTTCTGTGCAGTGATCGTCTGCCGTGCTTTCTTTTTTTCAGTCGAGACAGGAACTTAGTGCCATCTCTGATGGGATAGATTCGAGTTTTCAACAAAACTCAAAAAGAAATAAAAGTGTGAATAAATAACGTGAGGGCGTGGGGAATAACCCGCGGATCCGGGTTGCAAAATTCCCTCCAGGAATCCCGGGTGAGCTTTGGCCACCTAGAGAAGCCCTAGTCCCGCCACGGAAAAACTTGTGAGCCCGGGGAAACTGAGCTGAGCCCCCGGGTTGAAGGGTGTGGGGCAGGTAGGCCCAGTATCGCGGCAAAGGTCGCTATGATGCTTTAAAAAAAAAAAGAAAATTAAATTAAAACCTAGCTGGAGTAGCAGGTTAATTGCGGCAGGCTTTCGATCTCGGTAAATCCCACCGCTTTTAAGGGGAAAGTATATTGCAGTCCCACCAAAAGGAAAGGAAAAAAAAAATTTAGAAAAAGGAAAGGAAAGAAAGAAAGAAACGAAAACTTGGAGTTCTGTGTCATTTTGGTTGCTCTCCCTACAGTCCTCGCCACAGTAGTGGACATGTGCGGGGAAGATGTGTTTCCTTCTGGCATGTGAAAGTTGTGGGGTTCATCATTTGTTCTCTACCCCTGCCGATAAAAGCGCCCTTGGAGGTGGCCCTGTCTCCCTGCCGAGCCCACTGGCTGGCTGGCAGGAGCGGAAGGACGTGTCCAGAGCCCTGCGAGAGTGGGTGACAGGTTTGCCCCGAGCCCAACTCGGTGAAAAGGATGAGAGGCTCCGCAGAAGCAGTGGTGGAGGAGGCTGGTGGATAGGCGTCGGGCAGCTTGGGTGAATTGGCTCCTGTGTTTAAAAGGAACGATGCGGGCCTGCAGCCTCCCATAAAGGCTGTTGTCTACAATGGGACGGTGAAGGCAGAGCCCAAAAGGCGATTTCCAGAAAACTGCAGCTCTACTTCGGCACTGACGCGTGGGCACGGAGCAGCTCTGTGCAAGGAAAGGCTCCTCGGAAGAAAACCGCCCGCCCACCCCCTGTTCCTCAACCAGTCTGTGTCGCAGCTAATGAAAGGAGCGTCGCAATAAAAGCCACCTTTTTATTTCACTCATGTTTCCCAGAGATTCGGTTGACACTGACGGTCTGGCACGCTGCTGCGCGGAGGGATGAGGCGCTTCCCGAGTGGGCCCTCGGCAAAGTGACAACCGGGCCCGGAGCGGGGTGAAACCCAGGCCTTCTACGCCCAGCGGCAGCGGAGCCGAGCAAAAATTTGGGTCGGCTCAGCTAAAACTTTCCATGACAGCTAAACGGGGGAGAGCTGGCAGCCGCCGGGCGAAACGATCTCGTCGGTCCAGGGGCAAACGTGAGCAGACGATTCGCTCCTCCTGCTCTGAAATATAATGGCAGGGAACGAGAGCCTTCTTAAATGCCAAAAAAAAATCCTCTCCCGGTAGCCTGTTTCGCTCTCAAGGCACTACAATGCGATTCGCCCCGTGCCGTGGCTGTGCAGCCAGTATCTGCTCTGACTAGAAAGCACGTAGGAAAATTTTTCTCGTTCCCTAAAGATAAAAGCAGTTCTGCAGAATTTGGATCCAGATGTCACTAATTTACGATTGCTCTAGGACACAAGCTGATACAGGGTGCCCGGGAAGGGGGTAGCCCTGTTTCTGCCCAGCTCTCTGGAAAGTGAACTTACGTTACATGCGAGCTGCAGCCCGGCTAAGGCAGCTTAAAGTGAAAGCGCCTACGGAGGAGCTGGAGTGTAAACACTGTACTCACATTTTAGGGTGCTAAGAAGAGTCTTTTTCAGGTCTAAATCTGTGCAACACGTTTTGACATCTCCATTCCAGCTAGGGCTAACAGCTGCTTCAGACTCAACCGCTGTGGTTGTGAGATAGAAAGAGAGGAAGAGGAGTCAGGTATACCCCTAAGACCGAGCATGGTAGCAGGGAGGCGGGAGACACAGCTCAGACCTCACTAGCTCGCTACTTTTCATTATTTCCACGGTCCCCATTGCGAGAGGGAGCGCACGGTGTGTGTGCAAAGGTCGGGGACAGGAGAGGGGATCTGTGTTTTTGCTGCCGTTTCTGCTCAGAGCAACCTTTGAAGTGGCGCGGTTGTCCCGTCCCGTCGCTGTTCGCTACAGCTGCGGCTGTGAACTACTCAGCCGCTTAGGTTGGCTAGGAAGCTCTGGGATCGGGATGCTTTCGTTTATGAATCCTGCAGAGATCGGCCGGAATCGAGGCACTAAGCGGTCGAGAGCTCATTTTGTAAATGAACGGAGGGAGCATCATGCGAGGGAGTTTTACCGACCGGTCACGGACATGCCCGGTTTTGTTTTAAACGAATTTGAGCTGTTCTTTTCTCGAGCTGAAAAATAAGCCTCTATTTTTTGTCCCCGGAGGATCCAGGGCGGGAACCGCCCGCTTGCCACTGTTTCCTTATGGCACCACTGGTGAAAAGGCCGGACGGACAGGTAGGAGGACAACGCAGCTTCCAGAGAGGACTGCGCTCGAGAAAGTACGGGCATACGCCGCGGATATGCACAGGCATTCGGACATGCTGGGAGCTGGACAGGGTTGATCCGCTGCCCCCCTACCCCGCCCTCTTCCTCCTCCTCCTCCTCCTGCCGCCCTCCCCCGCCGCATTTCCCCCGGCCACAGCCCTGGCGCGGCTCCTCTCCGGGAGCCGCCGCCACCGGGAGCCGCCGGGCTGCGCGCCGCCGCCCCTGCCTCGCCTACCCCGGGGACGGCCGCTGCGCCCGTCCGGGCCGGCACGGAGCCTCTGCCCGTCGGCCGCCAAGGTTCAGGCTGCGGGGCTGCGAGCCCGCAGTCCGGTCTCTTGCGGCTTCGCTAAATCCCTGACGCGCCGGGGCGGCTAAAAAGGTACCGTGGCAGGAACCCACAATTGCAGAGACCTCTCCTGTCAGGACTGCAAATACCGTAGAAAGAGCTTGTGGGATTAATTATTATTTCTCAGCAAAAGGGGAACATAACAGTCCATGGAAACTACCCTGAGCTTGTGGCCCGGAGGCCCCTCCCGAATGCCCTCACCTGGGCGATCCCCGGCGCCAGCCTCCGCCCTGGCGGTCCCATTTGGCCGCCACCCCGTGCGCCGCTCCCGCGGAGGCACCGCGGCTCCCTCCACTCGCTCATCGCACCCTCTTCCTCGACCTTGCAGCTGGCACAACCTCACTCCCTCGCCTTTCACTTTGTGTAGACCGACAAGGGACGGGAAATTATGCGGGTCCCTGCCCCTCAGAGTCAGTAAACTTAAAACGCGGTGCGCAAAGGGCACGCGTGGGTGATAAGGGTCCGTTTAATCAAGCGAAGTGTTTCTGACTTTTACACTTTTGCGCGTGTTCCTCTCCTGGATGAAACACCCCGATACCTTTGAAAATCGAGTATAAATAAATGTCCGGCGTCCAGCGATCACAAATGCCAGCGCCCTTCGCGCCGAAGCGCGGTGGGGCACGGCCGGCGATTCATGGAGAGGCAGTCTCTCTCCAGCCCCGTATCATCATGCCTTCTTCTAGCTCCCGGGCAGGTACGAGAAGCGTGTAATGGGATCCCAGGTCACGAACAGGGTCTCCATTGTACATGTGAGGCCCCTTCCTTCTAAAACTCTCCAACAATTGTTACTGGGCGCTGGAGAGAGGGGCTATAAGGGAACGTTTTTAGAAAAAAAAAATTTTTGCAAGGGCCGGAGACTGGCTTTTCCTCCCACCGCAGCCGCGGGTGTCAGGGACGGCAGAGCCCGCTGTCCAGAGCGGCGGGGCCAGGATGTGGCTGCGGGATCCAGACGGGGCGGCGGGGCCGGGCCGGGCCGGCGGCTCCGTCCCGCCGCGCCGCAGTGCCCTGCGGCGAGGAGCAGGGGCCCGGGCTCCGAGCTCCTCCTCTCCCCCGACGGGCGCCTGCAGCGTCAATCACGACGGAAATTTCTCCCTCGCTAGCTAATATCTCAGCTCGCAGGGCCGCCTCTGAGTGGATCTGAGCAATCTGTCAACCCAGCCGGGGAGCCACCTCAAAACAGATCGGGTTACTCCTGATTGACAGCGTCACCATGGCAAATAATTTGACTAAAACTATTGTCTTCTCCTGGCAGTCCCCGGGTCAGATAACCGGACCAATCACAGCGCGGATAATCACTTTTCATGCCAGCTTAGAATAATATTATTAAAAAAAAAAAAAAAAAAAAAAAAAAAAAAAAAAAGGAGAGAGAGAGAAAGAAAGGGGGGAAAACTCCGAGAGGGAGAGGAGCGAGTGAGCAGGGCTTTACCACTATATTATGTGGGATCTGGCGGTGGGGGGTGGGGGGGAAGCAGGGAGATCCCAAACCGGCGGCCGAGGGGGGTGGGGGTGTGAGAGCCGCGGCCGCTGCGAGCGCTGCAGATAGGAGACAAAAGAGGCACGAAGTTACTCTCGCAACTTGGACTTACAAAAACGAGGCGGCGGCCGGGGGGAAAAGCCGCCCGCGCTCGGGCTCTCGAGACTTTTTTCGTCGCTCTTCGCATTTTTTCCCCGGCTCCCGCGACCGCCCCGGGGCCGGGCGCCGCCGATGGCCGCGGCCCCCCGCGCCCGGCCGTGACGCCCAAGCGGGCCCCGCCGGGCGCCGCCGCCCCGGGGCCGGCCCCGCATGCCGGGCGCTGCCCGCCGCCCCGCGCCGCTCTCCTCTATGCGGCCGTAGGGTGCGCGGCGCGGCAGGGCTCACCATGTCGATGCTCCCGACTTTTGGCTTCACCCAAGAGCAAGTGGCCTGCGTCTGCGAGGTGCTCCAGCAAGGCGGCAACATCGAGCGGCTGGGGCGGTTCCTCTGGTCCCTCCCTGCCTGCGAGCACCTCCACAAGAACGAGAGCGTCCTGAAGGCCAAGGCGGTGGTGGCCTTCCACCGGGGCAACTTCCGCGAGCTCTACAAGATCCTGGAGAGCCACCAGTTCTCGGCGCACAACCACCCCAAGCTGCAGCAGCTCTGGCTGAAGGCGCACTACATCGAGGCGGAGAAGCTGCGGGGGCGACCCCTAGGGGCGGTGGGCAAGTACCGGGTGCGCCGCAAGTTCCCGCTGCCCCGCTCCATCTGGGACGGCGAGGAGACCAGCTACTGCTTCAAGGAGAAGAGCCGCAGCGTGCTCCGAGAGTGGTACGCCCACAACCCCTACCCGTCCCCCCGAGAGAAGCGGGAGCTGGCCGAAGCCACCGGCCTCACCACCACCCAGGTCAGCAACTGGTTCAAGAACCGCCGGCAGCGGGACCGCGCCGCCGAGGCCAAGGAAAGGTACGGCTTCCCACGGCTCCCCGCTGTTCCCGCGGCTCCCCGACCCCGGTGCTCACCCCGAGCCTATCTGCCCCAGCTGCGGAAGGCCTGCCGGGAGCGGGACGGGCTCTCCGCCTCGGGTGTTCCCCGAGAGAACCAGAGGCGAGCGAGCTGGGCGCTCGGTGAAGGCATGTGTCCACCAAAACTAGCCCCGGGAAGGCGGCCGAGACCCGTTCTCCGCCGACTCCCTACTCCCCGCACAGCCGGCGCGGCGGCCCCGGGGCACCGGGGCAGCCCCTGCTGCCGGGGATGCTTCACACGGCCCGCGGCGGCTCCTGGTTAAGCAGCGTTGCCGCCTCCTCCGGCCGCAGCCCGGCTTGCAGCCCAGCCAGGAGCCGTGCCCGGAGGTGCCCGTGCCGGTCCGTGGCCCGTCGGGAGAGGCCGGCCGCGGCGGGGCCCAAGGGCAAGGGCTCCGCGCCCTGCGCAGCTCCGAGCGTGTCCTTGAGGGTTACCCCAGTAGAGAAAGGGCCAGCCGGGGGGCAGCCGGCAACGCGTGTGTCTGAACGCTGGTAGCAAATGTGTCCTCTGTCCTCGGCTCCTGGCGTGCGGCCGGAGACCTGGACAAGGACTGAGGGGAGCAACTTGTGGCCTCGCTCATGACATGGCAGTTCTTATTCGCTACCCAGCAAGGTGCTCAGGAACGCACGTCAATAGATGTATGTTCTTAGGCCGAATATGGTTCTGCATCCGTGTTTTTCACGTTAAGTGTAGTGAAGGGACCATTAATCGCCGGGAAGAGGTAAATGCCTACATCCCTGGCAATTCGAGATGATTTTTCCATCAGCAGTCCCTGTGCCTTAGGAAGACGGTTCGAAGAATCAAAAAGGGTCCTCTTACTGCGTTCACTAGCTCATTGAATTGCCCGGTCCGTAGAGGCAATCGTCTGACCGTATGATCTCGCGGTTAATTAGCGGATCAGAATCCTGTAGATCCGTGCCTCCGAGGAGAATTCTTTCTATCTTTGGTTTCTATCAGCCGTGTTTTGGAAACGGGCAGCGCCGCGGCCGCGCTGCTGTGCAGCCCGGCAAATTCGGGCACGGATTTGCTCTATTCATTTCCCGAAGCCGTGCTAGAGCTTTAATTTTCCTTCAAATCCTCACAAGTGTTGGTTTTACGAGATGTTAGAGATCCTTTTTATTGCTGATAGCAGGGACTCACCTTCAAATATCCAAAGGAAATGAAAGTTACATTTATTCCATTCCTTTTTTTTTTTTTCCCGGGGAATCAAATTTTAAAGGTCTCCAGAGACAAATAATATTTTTGACATTGAAAAATACACTCAAACTAATATTACACTCCAGGCGTCGGAAAACAGACCGTTCATGGGATTGCCATCCACTCAAGGAAACCTGTTCAAACAGAGCTTTCTTGTCTATTTTTATTTTTTTGGCACTAAGTATCTCCAGCCACATCCTGCAGCCCTTAGTGAGGAAAACCCGTCCGTGCAATAGCTTAACTTCTCTCCACCAAATCCTGCAGGATAGGGCCCCTCTGCCAGCTAGTGTGTTACAAAACTTCCGCAGAAGCTTTTAAATATGCCCGCACTGCCTTCAGTATTTCAGGCAGAACAGTGTCTAAAGTATTTCTGCTTAGGGCTATGGAGGCCGCATAAGCCTTGCCTGGAGGGCAACCCCGACCCCTTCTTGCCACTCACATTAGCACCCCCCCAAAAAAAAACCACCAACATATATAGATATATAAATATATAGATATATCTGTAAGGGCTTGGCCCGCCTCCAGCTATTTCTTGGTATTTACCCGGCGATGAATTTCGAAACTATGTCCTGCCTTTCCGAGCCTTTGTCGGCAGGCGCACCGGTGGTGCCGCTGCCCCCGCCGCGGAGCCGTGCGGGGCCATCCCGGCTGCGCCCCAGGAGGGGACGGAGGAGCAGCGGAGACCGTGCGGAGCATTTCTCGAGAGGGTCGGGGAAAGTAGCGGGTTAACTTTTTTCGCTTACCTTACCGTCCATATTGGGCTATGTTTTGAGCTTGAAGCTCAGGGCGAGGGGGAAAAAAGCATGTCAGTTACTTAAGCAAAAGACTTTCCCTCTTGATGTGACCCCGGGAGGCTGTTCTGCTGCACGGAGCCATCCTGCCTGCACCTCTCCGGGCTCTGGCCTTCTCAGGAGAAATCATGGCTGAACACCTCTTTAGCTCCTAGAGCAGTTTAAAAGTTAAACATTTTAAAAGTCTTTTTTTTTTTTTTTTTAATAATGTCTTCCTCCTTTCCCTTCCTCCCCCTCCTCACGCTGTGCAAACCCTTTGGACGCAGAAAATTACAGTTTGGCAAAGTGACACTTTCCGCTGGGCTAGTGGGAGACTGTTTACAAGCTCAGCGGACCTTAGACCTAAGTGCCAGATGAAGAGGCCTTGGAGGTTGGCAGAGTTCTTAAACCTGCTGTTTTTGCACTCCTCTCCGCTCGCTGCTCCCCGGAGCCGGCTCCCCGCCGCCCCCGCTCCTGCGGTGCGCACCCCGGAGCGACGGCCACATGGTGATTTCCCTCCCTCTTTTGTGTTTCCTATAGGGAAAACAACGAGAATTCCAACTCCAACAGCCACAACCCGCTCTCGGCGTCAATGAACGGGAATAAGACAGTTTTGGGGAGCTCAGAGGACGAGAAGACGCCGTCAGGGACCCCGGATCACACCTCGTCCAGCCCCGCTCTGCTGCTCAGCTCCAACCCGGGGCTGCAGCCCCTGCACGGCCTGGGCCACCCGCAGGGCCCCAGCGCCATCCCCGTGCCCAGCGCCGACCCCATGCACCACCACAGCTTGCAGGACTCCATTCTCAACCCCATGTCATCTAACTTGGTCGATCTGGGCTCTTAAAACCGTGTACACGCTCCCTCCTTCATGCCAGCCCTCCTTTACTCAATTTTTTTTTCTTCCTTTTTTCCCCTTAATCTTACCAGGGACTTTGAAAGCAATGACAAACACCTTGGTGGATGTGTTGTGCCCTTTGGCAGCAGGCTGGCTGCAGGTTTGCAAGGTAGTGGACTCCACTGTGGGTAGCTGATGTTGTGAAAAGCCTTAAGGGTTGCCTACAGGCGTTTTCAGGCGTGTAAGGATTGCTGGACAGGAGCCGTGATTTTCACGGCAGGCTGTAAGGCTGATCGGTGTAGCAGCTCATTCCAGCCTTATCTTCACAAATTTCTCAGTGGTGTCACTCGATCGGGCCGGTCTGTGTGGGAAGAGGCACATCGTAATATTTTTATTTTTTTCGGGGGGTGGGGAAGAAAGGGGAACGCAAGGCTGCTCTTGCCATGCCTGTTTGAAAGTTACACATCGCTCCCGTTATTCTATTGTAGTTATGTATCCGTGGCAGGTGTACGATGTACAATTTCAACTAAGAATACAAAAGTTGTAGTCAAGATATAGCAGCAACACGCGCTCTAGGCAGACTCTGTAACCTTCTTGTAGCTGATGCTATGCAGAGAGACAGCTTCTTTGGCCTTGTCCATGTGGTGCTTTCGCCGTTTGCTGGGTGGGAAAGGAAGTGATGGCCCGGCTCCTGCCCGAAGGAAGGCAGAGGTAGATTTTCCCCTGGGTGTGCTACGCGGGCTGGAGCGGGCTTTAAAAAGAAAACAGGAATTGCTGCTCAAGTTTAGACCTAAACGACAGTATCAACCGCAAGTCACTCACCTTAGTTTTGTTTATTGTTTATATTATGTGAATACATTCTTTGGAAAATATTTCTGCTTTTATTTTATAATAAAATTTAGAAATCTAACTCGGCATATGGCTGCTTCACTCGCCCGCGGGGTGTTTTTGGGCTCAGTGCGGAGCTGAGAGGAGCGAGTGTCCTGGTGGGGACGCCGGGGACGGCGACGTCGGGTGGTCCGAGCCCCGCCACCCTGCCCCGTTCAGCCCGGGCACTTCGGGGCCCCAGCCGGCCCCGGGACGCGCTGAGCGCTGGGGGCAGCTGAAGGCGCCCTGCGGGAGCGGAGAGCCAAGGGCACGGAGAAGGACGGGCGGTGCGAGCCCTGGGGAAGCGGAGAGGTCGCCCACCTGCTCCCCGAGGGCTCGGCCGTGCAGGCTGCGGGCTTTTCTGCCCCGGTGTCAGCCTGCCTCGGCAAAAAGCCGCCCCCTCTCATCCCCTCTCTCGCCCCGAGGGCGGGTGGGCAAACCGAGCGTGGCCAGACCACGCTCCGGGGTCCGGCACGGCTGGGCTGCAAACTCCTTTCCGGCGCCTGCGGGATGCTGCGGGAAAGGGATATCTCTATTCCTCTCCGTTTTCTTTATTTCTTTTTAATTTCCTTTCCTCTAAGCACCGTGTGGCAAAAGAGACAGGCAGGTTGCTTGCCAGTTTGCCCCATTAAAAGAGCTCAGGACTCTCGCTGTCCGTCTTTGCTAGAAGCCGAATGTGTTATGTGCTTAAAATGTTCTCAGAACTTGCAAACAGTTTTATACCTTCATTTTCGGTCTTTTTAAAATCTCCTTTAGAATAATTTTCTTGTGAAAAATGAACCGAGAAAATTATATGACTTCAAGCGGGATAGAAATATGTGTAGATCAGCAAAGACCGTGTCCAGGTTTCAGATGCTGGCTGAAATTTCAATCAGGGGGAATACTGTGCGGGCAGTGTCCTAATTTGATATAATCTGGGTCTGGATTAGCGCCTCTGTGAGTTTGCGGGTGTTCCCTAAAAGCACATTTCTCTGAGGTCCCGTTAAAAACCTACAGAAGGGAATGTATGGATGTCGGTAGTGGGGAGGTTCGATCTCCGGAAAAAAGCTCTCCCTTAGTGGCGGTTATAAATCCAGTTTTCTCGTTTTGCTGGGCTGCAGTGGGGTGCAATATTTTATCGGCGACAGTGTGGCATATTCGGGTTTATGATTCCCCTGCTTCTGCACTTTGGGGTGATTTTTTCAGCAGCAGAGATAGTGTGGCTGATGCCTGTGCTGTGGGAGCATACCATTGTGGCCTTACGTGCATTAGGGTCTAAATAGAAGATCCTGTTATTTCCATTGAGAGGCATCTAATAATATTAGCCATGAATTTTAATTCTTTGAAAATAAACAATTTGCAAGTAGAGGAACCACTGCTTCCTAGAGCTACAGAAGATCTCTGCTCCCTGTAAAATACCACACGCAGTGGTGCAATACGGCAAAGAATTAATTAATTGGCTAGTTAATTATTTTGTATTTTTGTAGATAGAAATGAGTTTGGGAAGGAAAACAGAATGTCTGGGTTAATAAAACATGGCCTCGAAACCGAAATAAACCCTTAAGGCTTTGCCCGCTAGAGAAAGAAAAAATGAGAAAGAGTAAAGCCAAAATGGGGAATACTTAAAGAGGCAGTATGAAAACAGGATGGGGTTTACGTGATTAATAAAAGGTCATATTGCACAGAGGAGGCAGAATTCGATCGGGGAAAGTAAATGAAGAGCTGACACGGTGAGAAAGGCCCTTTGAGAGAGTGGGATCCGTGAAAACTCATGTACGTTTCAGTAAGGATCACTTATATATGGATGAATTAAGAGAGGGCGAGTCGCTGAAGCCACTTAAAGATGGCTAGAAACAGAAATCATGCAGTAAGAAAAAAATTCTGCAGGTCAATCTGGAATTAAGGACGCACACTGCTCAAAGCCCCAATCATGGGACGTGTGTAATGCAACCTGAAACCCCGAACATGTTAAGACTCATTTTATCAGACCATACTTGCCTTAGTACTGATGTTTGGTAAATTAGCCCAAATCCCTCCAATTTTCCACGCACAAAAAATGTTCCCGATAGAGGAATATGGCGAAACTGACGTGACTAATCCTTGGTTTTAAACAGATTAGTTATGATTCACTAGCATTAGGTTACATGGGACATATCTCGTCTCATGGTTGGTTGTTCCTGGGGTACCCGCATGGGTTTTGGGGCATAAATTTTAAAAAATAATAAATAATACATAAATAAAAGGTTCGGTTCTGGCAATTTTTATCCATGAAACGTCCCCTGGCTACTCTATGACTGAGGCCAGGATGTGGCAGGCAAACTGCACTTAAGATACCCTACAGCTTGGACAATTTGGGAAGAACTGCACTCTCTGTCTCATATATGCACGCACACTTACCTACATATACATACACACCCATATATAATATATATGTATGCAGTGTTTGACCTCAAAATAAAATCTTACCAAAATACACAATATATTCAGCATTTGCGGCCCCCAGAATGTAAACGGAGTGATTCCTTTAGATTGCAGGGTGCTGAATATTCACGTGTCCTAGGGCAGAGGTTTTTTCTGCTGTATTTTGTTGTATGAGCGTTCACGGACTTAGTGCTGTGCTGAAGAGAGCCAGGAGAGAAATAGCTCATTTGAGACAGAAAACAGTTCTGTCCTTCCTGACAAGGCGCAGCTTGTCACTCTCACGGGGAACTACTGATGGATGCGATGAGAGAGCATCCCGACAGGCTACTGGAGATGTGACACAATTTCCGACACTTTTCTGGGGACAGGTAGCAAGTTTGTAGGAGGAAGAGCCTTTCCTATGAATAGGAGACCGTATGCCAGAGCTTGCTCCTTGAACACCTTCCATCTGCGAGTCCTTCCAGGCTCTTGGGGGTAATCAAGACTCTCATCTACAAGGCTGGGTGGCTGCATTTTCCTTTGGATAATATAAGCCATTTTGGAGACACTCGAATTTATCTACCCGGGAGAAGTCGCCCGCTTGGCATATTTTTGTGAGCTATCCCGAAGAAGGCTACTTTGCCTCTTCTCCCCAGAGCTGGTGCAGCAGCTTGGGCCTAACCAATGTCTCAATGTGTTTGAGGGGGCTGCTGCAGCCCCAGAACGAAAAGCTTTGGGAGTGCCCCTGCCTGCCCAGCGATGTTTGTGTAAGGCACTGGCGCTCCTGTTACCAAACCGGGAAACAAAATCTCTTGCCTTCTTTAGGAGAAACAAATGCAGCCCAGCATGAGCAGGTTTTGCCTTGAACAAACCCTCACTTGAGCATGACAAATAATGTAGGTGGGTGGCGATGAAAACACTGGGCACTGGCCCTTACAGCAGAGTTTTTAAACTTCTGCTTAGTGAATCAAAACGCTGAGGCTCAGGCAGCCAAGAAAAATATACTGAAGGGAACTTTCAGTGCTTCAGTACACAAGGAAAAGGTGAGGGTTTTGTCTGAAGGAGTAGCTCTGGGATTTGGAAAAAACACATAAACCTCGGAGCTAGACTGCAGGATAACCTTCTTCCTATTTTGCTGCGGGGAGCGCTGCTCAAAGCTTCCCCTTCATGCATCGAGGAGGCTCCTCCTTGCTCGGGAAGAAGTTCCATCTCCTACCATTAAAATAAACGGGAGGCGGGGGTTGTTTATTAGCGATTTTTTCCCCCGAGTTTGAGTAAGAACGCTCCATCTCCCGCTCTAAATATCAGTCCGCCTTTATCCGGAGTCCCGGTGTGCAGCTGAGCCCAAGCCGTGTAGGAAAAAAAATACCTACTTTTAAACACCCGCACCTAAAAAAAAAAAAAAAAAAAAAAAAAAAAAAAGAAAAGAAGACAAAAAACCAAACAACAACAAAAACAAAACACAAACAAACAAAACCAAGACGACCCAGTCGGACACACCGAAACAAACTGGGAGACTTCTCTAAGAGTCTGGGACAGAGAGGCTGGTTTAATGGAAAATAAGGTGGATGGACAGGTAAAATGTCAAATCAGCATACAGTGCTGGTAAGGAAAGATCTGTAGGAGAGGAGAAATCACTTGGAAAGATGAAAATCGCACATGTGCTTCTGATGACCCCATCAGATGCGAAGTCCTCCAGGAAATACATATTTGAAACAGCCAGGAAAAACAAACATGCCTTTTATAGACTTACTTGTCCCTCCATGAAAAATGCAAACCTCGGTATGGTGCGTGTGTACCCAGGGGGTGGGAGGGAGGAA